AGCACAGCGTTTATTTGTTTCACCTTGTTTTTCACATCAGCTGTGAGATGGGCACGCAGGGAGTCACAGATTAACAGAGATGGTGATGCGTGGAAAAAACCACCTGGTCTCCTTACATACACCTCCCTCAGCCACGCTTTCATCATCTCCTCATCCATCCAGCCCTGCTCGATTTCCATGTTCCTCTGCGTAGCTGATGGCCTTCAGTTTAAACTGTGCTTCAAAGGCGTGTCTCTTTGCCATTTTCAGGGTTGTTATGACAACAATGTTCTGCATAAAGCACATACCTGTTCTTTTATACACAATCCACACCTCCCCCTTTAACGTTCTCATGGTGGTCTCAACAACGTCTGCAGTAACAACACACATAGGGCGCACCGCACTATAGGGCGCGCAGCACATTTTGAGGGGAAAAAAAGATTTTTATATGCGCCTTATAGTCGCGAAAATACGGTACTCAGTTTCCGTTATCATGAAAAAAAGGAGCGTCAACGAAATGATTTCGTCATCGTTGACGAAACAACACTGCTGGATGCAGAAGTAGGAAAGCGTTTGAATGACCCCCTGCCTCTTCTCCTCCTGCAGCTGTGAGAAGAGCTTTTATGAAGCCAAGGATCTCCAGCAACATATGAACAAGCACATGGGCCTGAAGCCCTTCCAGTGCCAGGTGTGTGGGAAGTGCTACAGCTGGAAGAAGGACTGGTACTCGCATGTGAAGTCCCACAGCGTGGCGGAGCCTTTCAAGTAAGTTCAGATAAGGCATTTTATGAATCATTGTCATACTTTAAATCCGTAACATTCAGGAGGTTTATCTACCAGTGGGGCGACGGCCCTCAGGTTAACCTGGGGACCCGCCTAACATACTGGTCTAAATATTCATGTATTTGCTCTTAGTTTCAGTGAGTCTATAAGGTGATCTACCAATGGGATGAGTAACTTTGCATTAAATTTGCATTAAAATTGCATTAAACCATTAGGGTACATGTTCTTCAAAAAATTTTTCTTATTTAAACTATAAATGATCTTATTCCATCTGTAAATTTTCTCAAATCAAGAGAAAATAAGCTTATTTCAATAAAAATGAACTTGCCTGTATTTCAGTTTTTACAGTAGTTACAGATTTAGAAATGTTTAGAATAGAAATCACCTTTGTTTTCCTGTGGTGAGAAGTTCAGATGTGACTGCAGCACTGGGGCTTTAGGTTACCCTTTAAGGATAGGAGTGTCAAAAATAATAATGCAGGTTTTAAACCAAACGGGTTTGCAGCCTCAGGGTGGGGTTCAGACGTCTGGCACGGCGCGTCTGTTTTTTCTAGCTTTTTAATATCGGCTTCTCCAGACCCTTTCACGTCTGTCACATGTGCTCAGGGTGAACCTGCTCTCATCTGTGAAAAGCATAGGGCGCCAGTGGCGGACTTGCCAATTCCGGTGTTCTGTGGCAAATGCCAATCAAGCTCTATGGTGTCGGGCAGTGAGCACAGGGCCCACTAGAGGACGTCGGGCCCTCAGGCCACCCTCATGAAGTGTGTTTCTGATTGTTTGGTCAGAGACATTCACACCATTGGCCTGCTGGAGGTCATTTTGCAGGGCTCTGGCAGTGCTCCTCCTGCTCCTCCTTGTATAATGGAGCAGATACCGGTCCTGCTGATGGGTTGTAGACCTTCTACAGCCCTGTCCAGCTCTCCTGGAGTAACTGCCTGTTTCCTGGAATCTCCTCCAGACTCTTGAGATTGTGCTGGGAGACACAGCAAACCTTCTGGCAATGGCACGTATTGATGTACCATCCTGGAGGAGTTGGACTGCCTGTGCAACCTCTGTAGGGTCCAGGTAGCGCCTCATGCTAACAGTAGTAACGGTGACCCTAGCCAAATGCAAAACTGGTGAAAAAGAGTCAGAAAAGATGAGGAGGGGAACAAATACCAGTGGCCTCCACCTGTAAAACCATTCCTGGTTTGATGGTCGTCTCGTTATTGCCCCTCTAGTGCACCTGTTGTTAATTTGATTAACACCAAAGCAGCTGAAACTGATTAACAACCCCCTCTGCTACTTACCTGACCAAATCAAAATCCTAGAAGTTTATTTAACTTTATGCTATACTCTGATTACAAAGGGTTCCTTTAATTTTTTTGGGTGACAAGATTAGAATTTATTACAAATATAATTCCTTTATTATCTACATTCAGTTCAGAATCCTTCAGAGAAGTGAACTTCTGGCTCCACAGGCTGCTGCTACTTTCTGTCTGTCATAAAACCGAAGGTTAAATGGAGCAGAGAAAGAACTCATCAGGGCATCACAGCCACTGCAGCCTTTAGGCAAATCATTTCTCCAAGTATTTTTAATCAAATATAACCCTCTCCCACCCAACTAGAAAAAAAGCTGTCAACTCAAAAGTTACATTTATTTCTATCCCAATTGAGAAGTTAGTCTGTTTTCTAAAATTAGAAAAGATAACATTGTTTTAAAGCTGCTGTTATTGTTCAATCATTTTAGGTTAAAGTTTATGAATAATTAAGATCTTAATTTAAGTCAATATAATTTTCATTTTATTTTTTGCCATAAAAGAGCAGCCCTGACAGGGTGTCAAAAATGCTATTGCTGTGCGTCTGACGTCAGAGTGCAGAATTCCCAAGATGAAGCTCAAAATGCATGGGGCGTGAATCCTTACTGCACTGTACTCTACAAGAGGTTCAATACCTCCCAGACTCACTAGAGGGAGCCATTCTGTCTGCAAGCAAGCGATCTAAACAAAAATGGAACACTGAAAATCCGCATTTCGATTAATCTCGGTTGTTTTTCATCTTTTTGTTTTGGGGACTGATCCACCAGAATATTTACAAACTTATCTTAGTCAGGTTTTTTATTTTCAATTATCCTTGATCACTGACCTCTATCTCTCTCGCTCCCGTTTGTCCTCCAGGCAGATTTTTTATTAGCTTCTCTTCAACAACCTGCTCATGTTCCCTTATTTATTTAAGAAAACCTAATTAGCCGCCTGCAATATCTTTATCAGAAATGAAAAGGTTGTATTGGGAAACTCCTCCCTCCTTTGATTCCTTAAATGCTGTTAAAAAAACTGATAATGCATATCCATCATGCTAATCCCTGCTAATTTGTGACGTAAAAAGTTCCCCCTGGAATAACATAGTGCAGACCGTGACTCCAAATTGGACATAAATCAAAAATATCTGTGAAAAGCTCACTTCAACACACTGCTGCAGGAGGATAACCAGCCCTTAACATCTGGGATTAAAGGCCAATTTATGCTTCTGATGCATCGCCTCTGCAATCATCAAATCTCAGTGCGCGACCACGCCCCCCACGCAGAGGTTCTGCATCCGTTGTCACGTACCTCAAAAAAACCCACGCAGACCTCAAGCAGAAGTGCGCAGATAAAAAGCAGCTGTGATTTGTCGTTGGTATACCTTTCCAGCTGTCTATGTGGTCGTCCTTCGTGATTCGGTGCTGGGGCGCCATTTTTAAAAACTGAGGAACAATTACAATGGACAACTACTACAAAAGGTTAATCGGTCTTTTTGCCAACTCCATTAACAGAACCTGTTCCTCTTCAATGTCTAGCAACTCTAGATCCATCTCCGTGAACGTGATATCTTGCAGAAGTGCCATTGTTGTTTTGGAAGATAAACACTCCCGCCGCCAGTTCTCGAATAGGCTCCCCCTTGCGCTTTGGCGGGAAACTGCTGTGCGTCCCTAGAAATTCCAGACCGACGGTGCAGAAGGATACCAGCAAAACTGGATTGCTTTTTGTGGTTCGCACATTTCATGTGTGCTGTTGCAGAAGTATAATCTGCCCTTAAAGCAGGAATTAAAATGTTGCCGTGTTAGAATTGGCCAAGTCAAAGTCCAGATCTAATTCATCATTTTGTAACGCTCTCTGTTAGCCTGATGGCCTTTTAAAAACCCCAATTAAAGGGGTCATAATAGAGGAGAACCGATCGGATATTCACAGCCGTATCCCTGTGTCCTCAGGTGTAACGTTTGCGGGAAGGAGTTCTTTGAGAAGGCCCTGTTCAGGAGGCACGTGAAGAAAGCCACGCATGGCAAGAAGGGCAGAGTGAAGCAGAACCTGGAGAGGGAGTGTCAGCAGTGCGGCAGGAAGTTCACTCAGCTCCGAGAGTACAGGCGCCACATCAACAACCATCAAGGTGAGCGCTCGCTGTGGCTCCCTGGAGCACTTCAATCTAGAAACGTATTGATTTTTCTCATTTTTATAATTGGTGATTTTCTTTAGGAGTGAAGCCCTTTGAATGTCTGACCTGCGGGGTGGCCTGGGCCGACGCCCGCTCCCTCAAACGTCACGTCCGGACTCACACAGGCGAGCGGCCGTATGTGTGCCCCATGTGCCAGGAGGCCCACATCGACGCACGCACCCTCCGCAAGCACATGGCCAAGTACCACGTGGACAACCTGCCTGGGAAGATCATGTTGGAGAAGGACACGCTCCAGTTCCACAATCAGGGCACCCAGGTGGAGCACGCCGTCAGCATCCTGGCCTCCGACCTGCCCCCAGAGCTCCGGCCCGCCCACCAGGCGCCCACGGAGGAGCTGGAGACGGTGCTGATCACCGAGGAGACGGTGGAGGCCGTGGAGGCTGTCCAGGCCGCTCAGGCTGGGAGCGAAGGCTCGGTGGCGACGCTTTCCGACCAGGGCATCATGCAGGTGGTGAACTACGTCCTGGCCCAGCAGGCCATGTCTGGGGTCAAGTCAGAGGAGGTGCCTGAGGAGATCCACACCATGGAGGTGGAGGTGGCTCATGTGGCCGAGGTGGAGTAATCTAGACTCCAAACTGATCTTTTTTTTTACAGCCTGTATGTAATGTATAAACCCATAAGAGTGTAAAATATTCCTATTTTTCTGTTATTGTACATTACTGTAAAATACTGGCTCTGTGTTTTCTGTAAATACTTGAAATGAAGCAAGGAGACCTGGTCAGTCAGCATGTATAAAATCTGACAGTCAGGAAAAATAAAAATGAAAAAAGATGTCTGACTTTATCTTTGTGCTACAAACATAAACCATAGCTGCATAGTAAAGGCAAAATCTGCAGTTTTTATGGAAATTAAGTCTGAGTCCTTCCTAAATTATAAATTCATATTTTTTGTTTATAAATCTACCAAATTTGAAAACAAAATGTCTAAATCTGTTCAATGCGGTACAAGTTTAGAACAATACAGATGGTCTGTTGGCCAGACATATGAAATTACCCTTTTATTTTAATCTTTATTAGTTCCACCAAAGACTCAGAATCTAAAAGAAATGCCACAAAAGTAATTAAACAAGAAGTCTGAATATTCATTCATTCCACACCGATTTTTACATCATCAATCTTCCTCCAGATGTGATAAAAAAAATCCAGATTTTAACATTAAAACAAAACATGTTTTCAAAAGAAAAAAAGGACAAGATTCTAACATGCAATAAAGCAAATATGGAACTTTATTTGGGTTTTTTTTAACAAAACTAAAAAAAAGTACCGTAGGGTATATTTACAAAACATACACATTTGAAACATTGAGTTGAATCGCAGTAAACAAAACATAAAAAAAAAAAAGACATCAGTCATGGCAGAACATTAAAATACTGGGTCAAAAGCATTAGGCCTATATGTGGCTACATTAAATGAACGACCTCAGTGGAACATGCCTGAATAAGGTGACACAAAAAGAACAAAAAGATAAAGCAGAGATGTTTTTTCTCTGTTACATAATACTTCTTATTTAAAGGGACACATGAAATGTTAAGATCAACTCAAATAAATGTAATAAATGTACCTAAACCCGGGTAACAGAACAGGAAAATGACTCTCAGGTCCAAAAGCAGAAGCATCCACCCAACCAAGCTTCATGTCACGTTTAACTAACACAAACAGTCTGTGACATTTTACAAAGCAAAATTGAAATACTCCACATTTCTTAAGTGCTTTTAAGAAATCAAAAATAATACCGAAGCAGTACAAAACTGAGAATAAGTGCATCCCGGCAGTCGGTATACGGATCCTTTGCGCCGAAATGAAATGTTCCATAAATGGGGGTGAAATGAGCTTCTGGGGATATTGACAGCAGGCGCAAAGTGGGCTTACTCCCCCTCCTCCTTGATGCGCTGTTGCTTGTTGCGGCGAGAATCCAAGTCGAAAGAGAAGTCGGACCACTCGTCGCGAGGCGGGAACGAAATCGTTTGTCTCAGAGTAAATCGGACGGCGTCTATGACCCGCTCGCCTCGCGCCTCGGAGGAGCCCAGACTGACTGTGGAGGCTCCGCTGGAGGTGCGAACTATGTGTGGAGGAGGGGAAAAATCCATGGCCTGTCGGTGCTCCATGATGCCCTTCCAGATGATGTGCTGGAACTCTGCAGGGATCTTCAGCCTGGACAGGTCCTAATGGTCATTACACAGGGGAGCGTTAGTAATCGCAGGCCGAGCCACTCTTCTCTCTAACCCATATGACTCGTGTTGGATAGGCAAGGGCTCACCTCCAAATTATAGTTCTCAATCTGGTACATGTTGCTTAGGCCTTGTGCTGTGAAGTAATCCAAGCAGCCTGCACAGCCCAGCCGTAGGAGGAAGCTGCAGGGGGAGAAGGAGGACAGCTGTTGATCTCCTCTGACATCAAACCAATAATGTACGTAAAAACATTCAGGTTCCATAAATCCTCCTCCTTTTTAGCTCATGCTGTGACCACAAATGAAAAATCTGAAACTAAAGTGTTCTATCAAAGTGTGTTGCTGTGAAAATAAAACCAAATGTGTAAATATCACTGAATAAATAAGCTCTTCCTGCGTGATTAAAGGCACCAAAAGGTAAAATAAAACCAAAAAGGACAACAAGTCAGTGAAGCGGCGAGGATGCAGGCGGTGCTTAGGTACCTGGAGATGCTGCTGTCCATGGGGTATGGAGGAGGGGGGGTACAGTGGGAGGAGGGCACCAGGGGCAGCTGTTGCTGCAGGGCGTGTGTGGGGCTCAGTGAACTCATGTCAGCACTCATGGGGAGGTGGGAGCCCATAATGGGAGTCACTGCAGAGACAAAGGGAGCTAACGTGAGCCTTCTCTCACTGCTCTGGGTGGAAAGGAAACGTCATGCCAGCTGAAACCGGTGGGGAGCGAGGGGGGCGGGGCTTAAATCAGAGATGCACCAGGAGAGCGGCCGGGAGCGGAGTCGGTAAACAGCCTATATAAGCAACGGGTCACGCTGACCAACATATCTGGTACAAGAAGAAGCACCAAAAACTATTATTTCCTGAAGTCAGCGCGGCCGCCGCCAACAGGGAGCGGGACTCCAGACTAGAGGATAAAATCACACATCAGCTACCTGATGCAGGATTAGGGAAAATATCTGAAATCTGCCGGATTAGGTCGGAATTTAACAGAGCTAATCGTCAATTTAAGGTCAACTCTGTGATCATTTTGTTTTGTCTGACACACTGTGTGTTCTCTCTATAGGTGAGTAGTTACTACTCTGGAAAAATTTAAATCTAGATAAGTCATTTTTCCTTAAAATAAGTGCATTTGGTCTTGAATTGAGGAAATAAAAGAGACATTTTGCCATAGGAACAAGACATATTTCAAGTACATATTATGTAATTATCTTATTTTAAAAGTAAAAATACTCATAAGGTGTTGCTGAGCGAATCCTGCTGTTGAAGCAAAGCTATGAGCCGATTTA